GGTGGTGATGGTGTGGCACTATTAAACACTATAAAACACTATTAAACACCATAAAACACTACAAAACACTATTAAACACTATTATGCACCATTAAACAGTATTAAACACTTATTAAACACCATTAAGCACTATAAAACACTATAAAATACCATTAAACACCATTAAACACAATTAAACACTATTAAACACCATTAAACACCATTAAACACTATTAAACACCATTAAACACTATATAGCACTATTAAACACCATTAAACACCGTTAAACTATTTATATATTAAACTGTTAAACACCATTAAACACCATTAACCACAATTAAACACTTCAATTCGCCTTTGGAGTTCAGTTTCGATCTTTCTAAGCCCAGGGAACTTTGAGAGAGATAATAGTGTCTCAGTTTCCTAACTCTACATCGTTCACCCTGTAAATCACCTGATTCACCTTATTTCTCACCTGTTTCACCTTATTTCTCACCTGTTTCACCTTATTTCTCACCTGTTTCACCTTTTTTCTCACCTGTTTCACCTTATTTCTCACCTGTTTCACCTTATTTCTCACCTGTTTCACCTTATTTCTCACCTGTTTCACCTTATTTCTCACCTGTTTCCCTTTTCTCACCTGTTTCACCTTATTTCTCACCTTTCCTGTTTCACCTTATTTCTCACCTGTTTCACCTTATTTCTCACCTGTTTCACCTTATTTCTCACCTGTTTCACCTTATTTCTCACCTGTTTCACCTTATTTCTCACCTGTTTCTCCCTCCTCTGTACAGGTTCCCAGATGGTACGTTCGTCACCTTCTCATGTAGGACCAATAATATCGGGGAGAAGAACTCGTGGAATATGTCCTGCGTGGATGGGTCCTGGCAGGGTCTAAGGTCACCTACGACGTGTGGTGCTGACGGGGCTGACGAGGAGGAGAACTTTGGTAACAAGTCTTGTACCTGGAGGAAGTCAGAACCTAATGTGGTGACCTTCTACAACGATCAAGAGGTCACGGAGGAGGTGGTCGACTTTGAACCCGGTGCTAAACTGGTGGGTGATGGTGGTGATGGTGGTGGTGATTGTGATTGATTTTCCCCTTTAGCGGCTACTTTATTGTGCACCCCCACACTCATCCTGTGAGCGGTAGCGCAAAAGGATTACAGAGTAGAGTTTACAACGGGTCATAATAATTAACCCCGTTGTCAGGATATTATGGCACTGAATGTTACACATATTTCACTTACATTATTCGTTTAGTTCTATACATAAAGGTAACTTATTCACAAGTGCGTGAGTACAGGAGTGTGAGGCAGTATGTCTGGCCGCACACTTTGTTATTCACATTTGCGTGAGAAGTATTCAAGCATTGTGTGTTTGGTTCTATACATGAGAACTGATATAGTTACTAGTGCAAAAGTGGATACAATCTTAATATGTCGGCTATCTTGTCATTAGAGATGAAGTGTTGTGCCATTTCACACAGTGTGCTTGGACCTGTCAAGGTTCTATCTTCACACAGTCGAGGACGTAGTGTTCAAGTGTGTGGCCATATGTCTGCACACACTTTACATTTAGTCTTGTTTACATCTGCTTGAGGAACATACTGTCAGAGGTACTTATATCATAACCTTAATCTAGCGGTTACAACATCTTATAATCTAGTGATCTTGTTACTTGCTCTATATACATGTTTCATGATACATCTCATCATGGTAAACTATGGATCGACTAGTGCCTGTTTGCACTAGTCTACTTGCGTCAAACTCATCAATAAGTTCTTTCCTAATTACAGTTTTAAGGGTTCTTTTTGACAGACCCAAATTGTATTCAACGGTGTCTTTGTTAGACGCGAGTTTGGCGAGGGCATCAACTCTGTCATGTTTTATGAGGCCTATGTGGGAGGGGGCTTCAGAGACAAGAGCGTGACAACTTGAGTCGAGGGTGCCAAGGGCAAGTAGTGAGGATAGAGAGTCAGTGATGATGAGACTGTCAGTAACAGTGGTTTCAATGAATTTAATAGCTGTGAGTATGGCAACTAATTCAGTTTGTAGAGTGGATGCTAGTTGTTAATTCTAACTCCTTTCTCAATTATATTACTGTCAGGTTGAGTCACAACAATAGCACTTCCAGCCCCTCCCACAGGCGGTGTTAAGAGATCCATCAGTGTAGATGGTCTGTGTGATATTATCATCAGTCTGTAGAGTGTATGTGTTCAAGAGCTCTCACTTTGGCAGTGTGTTGGAGATAAATGCTTTGTATAATTAATATTTTAGGCGGATATGTCGGTATTATCGAAGGAACTGTCTGCCAGGGTGTGGGCACTGTTGTGTCTCAACTTTGTACAGGTGGTCTAGTCCAAACATCTTCATATGTGTAGCTGTAGTTTGGATCCATTTAGACTCAGTAGTCCATGGTTCATACATTCTATCAATTTTAAAGAAACAATGTTATCAGGATCACCACAGGGACCTCAGGGCTATCATGAGGTTGACTTCAATTATTCTATCTTTAACACTGGGTATACCTAGTTCTTTCCTCATATTAAGTACTTTAGTGCCTGCGGGACATCCTAGGATAATTTTGAGGGCTTTTTTTTGCATTTTCTCGAGCTTGTCAACGCCTTTCCCATCACGAATGACCAGGGCTGGTGCGTGGTAATCTATCAGAGATCTTATATAGCCTAGGTACATTGCTTTAATAATTCAAATATTAGCTCCATAGTGTGGGCTGTACCCCTTTACACTTCTAAGAGGTCTCAGTCTGTCAGTACATTGGCGGGTTAGCTGTTGTATGGCAGGTAGGGCATGAGGACGGAGACACCAAGATATTTAAAAGAAGAAACATAGTCAATATTGTTGTGTTACGGGTTGGGGATTTAGAGATAGTTAAATCTACAGATCCCAACAGGTAACAAAAAAAGACAATCGGACTATAAAGGGTGGGCAAAGGATGAGAGTTTTCGTTGTGTATAATAAAGTACTATAAATTCCTTAACAAAATAATCAGCTTCCTATTTAACATTAACCATGCTTAACCTAAACATTAACGAGTATATACATATTTATACAACATAAAACAATCGTGAAGCAAGGTGGAGGTGGGAGGGCAATACAAGATTACAAATACTTAAGTGAGGAGCTGAGATGGGTGTGAGGGTAAGGCTGAGTATTGTAGAAGACGGTAGGTGTAGTCACTGTGCCGGAGGTTTCCAGGATAGGTGATCCTGGTCACTTCCCAGGTGTAGTGCTCTCTCCTCGAATTCGAGCTCACGAAGACTTGGAGGAAGTGACGCAACAACCAGGATATGGAGAGAAACTGGGGTGGTAATTAAGACGAGTCATACTGTGTCTCGTCCTAGATGGCGTTGATCGTGGTGGTGGGTAGGTGATCAGGACAATTGGTGGGGGTTCGTAACAGTTTTTACTATCTTTACCTATCTTGAACTTGGCGGGGCCGCATTTGATTTACTGCTTTAATTTGTTGAACACATAGATTTCAGTGGAGATAATAAGACAGTGTTCTGGCTGCTTCCTCACCAGTTCAGGGTGGTTTACATTCTGATGAGTTTCCAAGTATGTATAAGAATATGTCAGCATATTGATTACGCTGATATATGCTGAGTTTATACATGATAGCTAATTAATAATGCATTCATAGAACATGAACAAATTAAATTTCTAAAAGCCTCCCTTAGAAGGTACTATTTTCTCTTGCATATTAACCCTAGAGCAATTGCAGCAGCCCTTCTATTGTTGGTTACGGTAACCCTTATCCAGTGTAACAGCCTACCTCCTATATCATTTTGGCTAGTTCGTACAATATCAGTTGCCTATTGGCAATATCAAATGCAACTTTTGGGTCAAGAAATGTGAGTGTATCTGTGCCTTTCATCACCATACAGTTAGGAATGTGGTAGTGCAGTACTCTTTTACCATGGGTGAAGCCATTTATGTTAGGGAACATGTGATTTCTCTGATTCTATATATAAGTCACCGGAAGACCCTTTCAGAGCAGCTGGTTAGTGATATGGGACAACATCATCTTTGTCCTGGTTTTTCGACTATTGGTACAACAATACTGCTGGTCCATGATGTGGGTAGTTGGCCCTCGGCATGACTCATATTGTACAATACCAGCAATGGATTGCCCGGCACACACTTGTAGTAGTCTAACGATGTTGTAGGTGACTCCATCCTCTAGGGGAAATGGAGCCTACCCTGGCGAGGGCGGCGTCAAGCTCCCCACTCAGTATATGGAACATCACACTCATCGTGCTGTTGCCCAGCATAAAATTAATAAGATTACTTCTCTCTACAGACTTCGCATCAAAGGCGTCCCCGAGTCTAGCTGGTAACATGCTTGCAGCTAGAACCCCACATAGGCCCGCCTGTTATTTAGCTCATTCAGCTTTTGCAGAGGTTGGATGGGAGACGTGTCTTCTGTTTTACCTCTGATTGTGTCTATGTCTTTCCAGAGCTTTGCTGAGGAATGTGTGTTGGTTCAGGCGGTGACATATGTCTCCCATTGTTTGTCTGAGTTCGTTTACACGTTTCCTGACAGCAGCAAGGGAAGCTTGATACAATTGTAACATTTGAGGGTGTTCTAATTTGTTGTTTGTAACCCTTGCCACCCTCCTGACCCTAGCCCTGAGTTTTTTCAGCTCAGGGGTCATTCTCTTTTACTACTGTTGCCTGTTCCCATTATATGACATTTTCTGCTTTTCTTTGGTGGAAACATTGTTGGTGAAGTATATAAATTACCTCTATCTAGATCGTCATGGAAACTTTTGTTAGTTGTCAGGCTTGTAATCCTTGTACCAGTCATGGATGAAGTCTATGAACTGGCTTTCATATTCTTATTTGACTGTGATTCTACGTCTGTTGAGTTTACCACCAGTGGGGTGTCATTGGCTACATGTATACTAACTGGTTGGGCTGTGGTCAGACCTTAAAAGATTAGTATTGACAACATAGAGCGATGAGTTGTGTATGATAGAGTAAAAATAATAATACACTTGTCTAGACCCCGCCATAGATGTGTGTTGGTTCATTGTCTACCTAATTGAACATCTTCAAATACTTCGAGATAAGTCTCCTACCATTGGTGTTGGTGGTGGTGTCACCTAATTTCTTGTGTGTCTAGTATTCAGGTCACCCATCAGGACAGTGGGCTCAGTGTGTAAAAAGTCTGGGAGATCTGTGTACTGAAGCTGATCACCGAGAACCTGTTATACATTGGAATGTGGAGTTGCCCAGGTGGATAGTGATCCCCATGGTACTGAAGGTTGGTAGTCTTTTTGGATACAAAAGTACATGCAGGGAGTGACTGTAACATACATCAAACATGTGTGAGTAGAACTAGGATCATAATACACATAATTGGGCAGACTGGGTGGGGGCTTACCATTAGGTGTGAGACACTCCCTGCAGACACACAATATCGATGTCCTCAGTCACAACTTTGTGGTGTAGGTCAGGGTGTATCGTTTTCTAAGGATGAGATGTTCCAACTCATCACCTTCACCGCTCTGTATCTTTGTCACAAGAGTATTAACACTGGCCATTATGAGCTGTATTGGAAGAAAGCAAAAGAGCGCACCATATGATACTGTGTTTTTCTACACTTCTCCTGTCCTTCGGCGGGCAATGAATATCAAACCTTTTGAAACATTTCTGGGTATGTACGAGAACAACAATTGTTGTATTTCAGTGGCAGACAGCAACACACTTTGGTTACACTCGACATCTCCATCAGCTTTTCTGTTTGTGTTTGTTCATCTTCACTGACCTTGTCCTGAGGCATCAGTAGAACTGTTACCAATATCACTATTTTCCTCTGCGTGGACACACTAGTTCCTGAGTGGGTCTTGAGTTTCCCACATCTGGTACTGACATTTGAATGTCTTCAGTTTGACTGTAATCTTTCCATAGCTGCGCATGTTGAGTGGTGTTCTTTTTCTGTAGTGTATCTGGGGCTCCTTAACATATCAGTTTGAGCTGTAAATTGAGCTTTGAGTTCTTTAATTTCATTTTCAAATCATTGATGTCTTCACTTTGTGCGTGTCACGGGGTCTGTTGGCAGCTTCCTGTTGTGTCAGTACGTCTGTGTTGCCCCATGCTGATCTTTCGATGACTGCTGGTGATGATCCTGGAACTTTGGTGGAAGGGTGGACCAGGGTTGGCCGTAAGAATACCCTAGCAGCAGTAAGTTTCTTAAGGAAACCTGCCTGGGTGGCGGGTCTGGGCGTTGAAGGGGCGCAGGGCTCTAGGACAGTCAGGGCCATACAGGAACTCCAACTGTTTGCAGTTAATACACTTCTGTTGAATGGCGCGTTGAGTAACTGTATCTCTGCAGAAGCCTGTGTTTGCATGTTGTCTTAAGCAGACCTTACACCACATTTGGCTTAGTCGAGGGGCATAATCCAGACCCACCTGGTCCCAGTGCTGACAATTGTAACACCTCCGGGTAGGGGGTGATAAGAGTCCGATAGGCACCACGGACTCGAATAGTCTTGGAGTGGGTCCCCGAGCCACCCCAGTCTCTGTAAACTGCATTCTTGCCCTAAGGTCGCTTCGTCCTTCTGATGGCGGGATGAGCTTCTAGTAGTGTAGGGGTCTGGTGCTGGTCAGGCCCGATGATTAGATGGTTTTCTTGCTCGGTGGATTTGGGATGATTGTTCATGGTTATTCCTTATGCTATTGGTGAGGAGATCTGTATGACTGCTGGGTCGCTTCTAATCAGAACATGATCTTGTGTACCGACTCTGAACTGAAACTCAGCGTCTGGGTGTTTATCTTCCGCATCGTTCAGCCATCGATACGAGGAGTGACGTCCATTAGGACTGGGGCTCACTTGACACATAAACTATCATAACAACCATTAATCCATTTCAAACTCATCTACTGAGACGGTGTGCCAGTTGACCCCCTTTCTCTCTCTCTCTCTCTCTCTCTCTAACTCACCTGGTCCTTACTCGAGGTTCACTAGAGATCAAGTAGTGTATTAACTTCAGTCACTCAGGTCATCCTCCATCGTTTTAGCTGCCACTCAAGCATTAACCAGTCACTCATTGATCTAACACTCTCCAAGTATTAACCAGTCACTCGTTGATCTGACACTCACTCAAGTATTAATCAGTCAGTCAGTTACTCTTCATCAAGCTAAAACTCAGTCAGTAAAGTCATTCTCCATCGACCTGGCTCTCATTCAAGGGTCATTAAAGACTCAAGCAGTAACTCAACTGAAGTTTGAGGTGGAGGAGGAGTCATAGGAACAGAGAGAGAGAGAGAGAGAGAGAGAGAGAGATACACACACACACACACACACACACACACACAGAGATTACTAACACAGGTATAATCAACAGGTGTCCAGGTGTTTTGACATAGGCAAGTATTCACTGATTGGATCAACAAGAAGGAGGTGTATCGACGGTCAATGGTCCGGGGATAAACCAGCTTGTTTCGGCCTTAACCAGGAAAATGACTACTCCTGTACGTATAATCTCTAGCCCTTATGTAAATGTAAATATGTAAATGTAAATATGTAAATGTGTAAATATGTAAATGTAAATATGTAAATGTGTAAATATGTAAATGTAAATATGTAAATGTGTAAATATGTAAATGTAAATATGTAAATGTGTAAATATGTAAATGTAAATATGTAAATGTGCAAATATGTAAATGTAAATATAGGATTAAATATTCAGTTAAGGTGAAAATTATGATAATTTGTGTGTGTTGTCGTGTTTATTGTCTTTATTTATGGGTGGATATATTACTCACACACACACACACACACACACACACACACACGCACACACACACACACACACACACACACACGTTTGAATTCAGGCGTAATATATAAGACTAAATAATTATCAATATTTTTCCTCCTTTGTCTCCTCCTCCTCTTCCTCCCACATCCACCCTTCATCCATCTCCTCCTCCCACATCCACCCTTCATCCATCTCCTCCATCACCCCACCCATTACCCCCCCTACAGTGGACAAGCCGCCCACGATTCTCTTCCGCAACGAGAACGGACCAATGGCACAGAGTAATGAAGGGAAGATGGTAGTATACCCCGGCACCGTCCTTCACCTTGAGTGTTTATTCATGAGGAAATACGGTACACCCAAGTGGAACGTCTCACTCGCTAGTTCGTGAGTAGATGTGTGTGTGTGTTGTTTGGGGTGTGTGTGTGTGTGTGTGTGTGTGTGTTTGGGGTGTGTGTGTGTGTGTGTGTGTGTGTGTGTGTTTGGGGTGTGTGTGTGTGTGTGTGTGGGGTGTGTGTGTGTGTGTGTGTGTGTGGGGTGTGTGTGTGGGTGTTTGGGGTGTGTGTGTGTGTGTGTGTGTGTGTGTGTGTGTGTGTGTGTGTGTTTGGGGGTGTGTGTGTGTGTGTGTGTGTGTGTGTGTGTGTGTGTGTTTGGGGTGTGTGTGTGTGTGTGTGTGTGTGTGGGGTGTGTGTGTGGGTGTGTGTGTGTTTTGGGGTGTGTGTTGTTGCCGTCTCTTAATTTACTTAAATGTCAGGTTCTGGTCGTAATCAAACAAAAGGTGAGTAAATTAAAGAGAATAAAAATAAATAAAGTAAACCTTTAGAATTTAATTAATTAAATATTAACACATAAAGAGCCTCGTGAGTTGTTGTCAACAAATTGATTCACCATCGAAACTTTTAAGACACAAGTGATACAAAACATCAAACATCAAAAGAATAAAATAAAGCATTGGATTACGTTAACACTGCATCAACATATAAAAACTAACACTGAAATTAACTAACGGAAACAACACTGAATTATTTGAATAACTAGCAAATAATTACGGACACAAACAGACATAATAGGTATCACATAGATATACCACATTGGTGGCGACAGGAACAACACGAATAAATTAAGTTTAGTAACAAGTGACGTCAAAGGATGTGAACTGTATGACAAGAGGACTGAACTAACTCAAGTCAGTTGGTGGGTCCTATATATAAGGTCGGCTCTCGCCGCGACGACCCATGGGTCGTTTAACGATGCAGATGGTCGTTAGAGAACAAAGAATGCTTGTTACAATACAAAATAAAGAAATAAGATGGGCTTGAACAAATAATGACAGTTAAAACCTTAACAGCACAGGGTAAGGTGACTAGAATATATAATAGTAAATTTAACACATCATTACAGGAATAATATGGAACATGGGAGCATGTTATATAAAAAAAAAAATACGACACGGTCGTAACAGTGTGTGTGTGTGTGGGGGTGTGAAGAGGGATATAATTGTAGAAATTAATACACCATTATCATTATTATTATCATCACTAACATCATCATCATCATCATCATCATTACCATCATCATCATTACCATCATCATCATCATCATCATCATCATCATTACCATCATCATCATTACCATCATCATCATCATTACCATCATCAGAGACAACAACAAGTTAATGTCAACATAGATTATTTATTACTGTATTTATCGACTCTCTCTCTCTCCCCCAGAACCCTAGGAGGCAAGAATAGGAGGCGAAACAAATTAAAGAAAGGAAAAGGCTTAGGGAAGACCAAGACACTCGGTGGATTAGTGTAGGTATCACCAGGTACCTGTAGAGGGTACCTGGGTTTGGTACTTGGTGATTACCTGAGGGTGATACCTGGTAATGGTACATGTTAATTAATTAAGCAGGGATATTACCTAAATTATTTACATTATATTAAGTGTTATTATTCATTGTTTTAACTTGTATACATAAAAATAGATAGATTGATAGATAGATAGACAGACACATACATACATCCATACATACAATACATATATACACACATACATTACATACATACATACATACATACATACATACATACATACATACATACATACATACATACATACATACATACATACACACATACATACGTACATACATACATACATACATACATACATACATACATACAATACATACAAACATACATACATAAAATACAATGCATACATACATACATACATACATACATACATACATACATACATACATACATACATACATACACCACAAGAGTAGTGGGTATTAAACTAGTGTTGTTATACCCTACAGGCCGTACCCAAACAGCTGGGCCAACGCTCCTGGTCGTAACATGCAGCTGGAGTACCGTCTGTCAATCTACAAGGCACAGGAGAAGGATTCAGGGTCATACGCCTGTGTTACTCCCCCTGGTCACAAACACGTGGTCCAAGTGGAGATTAAGGGTGTGTGTATGTGTGTGTGTGTGTGTGTATGTGTGTGTGTGTGTGTGTGTGTGTGTGTGTGTGTGTGTGTGTGTGTGTGTGTGTGTGTGTGTGTGTGTGTGTGTGTGTGTGTGTGTGTGTGTGTGTGTGTTATAATGTTGAGAATATGTTTGTATATTTTTTTCTCTCTGTCTCTTTCTCTCTGCCTTTGTTCTGTCTGTCTATCTCTGTCTGTCTATCTCTCCTCTATACAGCCATCAACTGCCCATATATCTCCACCATGAACCAGTCAAGTTTCTCTTAATGTCTCAGAAGTCTCTTACTTTTTCTCAGTCTCCCAAGAAGTTCTTAATCTCATTCCCTCAAAAAAGTCTCATCGTTATTCATTATCTCTCTATGTCACCCAACCTCTCTAAAAATCTCTCAATATCTCTCTATGTCATCCAAATCCCCCAAAGAATCTCTCAAATCCCCCCAAAGAATCTATCAATCTCAACCCCTCAAAAAAATATCACCGTTTCTCATTATTATCTCACTATCTCTCTCTCTCTCTCTCTCTCTCAACCTTTACAGCCGTCAACTGCCCAGATATTGGAGCCATGAACAAGTCAGACGAGTTTGTCTCTCTCACCTACGAGCCTATTGACGATACCAAGATGTCTACAGTGGTCGTGTTCTCCTGTGTTCCTGGGTCTTCACTCGTTGGAGCCCAGCAGATAAAATGTCTTCCATCAGGCAACTGGTCGGCACCTATCCCACGTTGTGAGAGTAAGTTGAGTGAGAGAGAGAGAGAGAGAGAGTAGAAAGGTGTTCAGTGCCATAGTGAGGGTAGGAGAGTGTGAAGGTGTGCCATAATGGAGACTGAAAGAGTGTGCCTGAGTCTTTCTCAACCCAGAAGGAACGACACAGACACTCACACACACACACACACACACAGACACACACACACACACACACTTAGAAAGAGACAATAAACCCCCTAAGTCATTTCTTTATCCCACTAATCCCTCCCCCAGCTGACACTTCCCTCCCTTCATTCCTCCCTCCCCCCACACGCCCCCTCTTCCTTCTCCCCAAATCTCTCCTTTGCTCCTCCCCCTCGACCCCATCTCCCCTCCCCTCCTTCTCTCTCCCCTCCCTCCCTTTCCCTCCTCCCTCTCCTCTCCCTTCACCCTCCCTTTTTCCCCCTTTCCTTCTTAACTCCCTCACCCTCGCGGTTGTGTGAGTGTGTAAGTGCGTTAGTGGTTGTGGTAGTGTGTTAGTAGTTGTGGTAGTGCGATTGTGGTTGTGGTAGTGCGATTGTGGTAATGGTATTGGTTCAAGTGTGTGGTATGTATGGTAGAGTGTTGTGAGTACTGGTAGTGCTATTTTAGTTAGGCAGTGTGGTGGTGTGGTAGTGTGATGGTGTGGTGGTCACGGTGGTTATACGTTCGGACTTATTATTGTAGTTGTGGTTGTGAATGGTTGTAAATAGTGTGGTTGTATTCCCCCCCCCCCCTTTGCTAGTTGTACGTATGTTTAGACCTGGTAGCAAGCTTGTGGTTGTGGTTGTACACCTATGTGGTAGTTTATTAGTGCACCTTAGTTACTTTATGTGTGGTATATACTTTTCCTTAACCATGTACTCATAAAGTTTATAGAAAGTTACATAAAAAATATTTACACATGAAACTTTAATATATTTTCAAAATTTATCGACTTTTCTAAATATTTTCAGATTCTTTCTAAACCATAATGCTAAATAAGTTTTCTGTAGATAAATGTTAAATAGCCAAGAGGGTTAATTATCTTCGTATGTAACAATATTTAATTCTACTATTCTTTATCTAACTTTGCTATTTTTTCCGTTTTTATTTCTATAACTTTTTGTGTATAAAATTATATTAAATGAAGAGTGGAATTAACATAACAATAATATAGGTTAAATATATTTTACATTAATTTAACTTGTGGATATAGTGAATGACGTCACACTCCTAATAGATACATAACCAGTCATAATGGGCACTAACGTTAATGGGTACAAGTCGTAATAGGTTAGATTACACGAAGCCCTATAACAATTGAGCCCAATTAAATCACTGTGGCCTATTACGATTGGAACCTATTTATACTGATGCCAATTAAGACAATGACCTATATGACCTGGCAGACAGACAGGTCAGGTCAATCACCGTCTTGTTCCATTGTCTGTCTGTTTTTGTGGCTGTCTGTCTGTCTGTTTGGCTGTATATCAGTAGCCATATTGATAGCGGTATAATGTCTATGCTTCGTCTTTGCAACTCACTCGATAATGATGCAACATATGTGTTCTTCTCCCTGCAACATATGTGACAGTGATCAACATGTGTAATTATCCCTGCAACATATGTGATGATCAACATGTGTAATCTTTGTAATAACAATGGCACTCAGTGAAATGATTTGTGTTCCCTCCTGTGTTGCTGCTGACAGTGATGCAACATATAATAATCCCTAGTGTTCCTGCTGACAGTGATGCAACATACAATAATCTCTAGTATTGCTGCTGACAGTGATGCAACATATAATAATCTCTAGTATTGCTGCTGACAGTGATGCAACATATCCCTAGTGTTGCTGCTGACAGTGATGCAACATATAATAATCTCTAGTATTGCTGCTGACAGTGATGCAACATATCCCTAGTGTTGCTGCTGACAGTGATGCAACATATAATAATCTCTAGTATTGCTGCTGACAGTGATGCAACATACAATAATCTCTAGTATTGCTGCTGACAGTGATGCAACATATAATAATCTCTAGTATTGCTGCTGACAGTGATGCAACACTCAATAATCCCTAACGCTGTTATTGATAATCATGCAACATGCAAATAATCACTCGTTAATCCTTGCCACGACACAAGTACGGCTCCTCCCGCCCGCCCTACACGTCTGCATCTCTCTGACCTGACCTGACCTGATCTGACCCGACCTGACCCACAACAGTCAATCCTTTAATAATCGCACGTTCAGTCAACTGTGTGTGACCTCATCTTAATGCAACAAATGATGTTGGTCAGACGGTGCACGAAATATCAGGAATACTTTCATTTATTCATCCATCCACTCATCAATTCCTGTATCCAGTCAGCCATCCATTCATACATGCAGTCACCCATCCATCCATCCATCCAATCAACCAACCATCCATCCATTCGAACCATCCATCCACGGGTACCTAACAACAGCACAACAAGACGAGGCTGTCGGAGGTCATCATGCAATCTATCTTGACCTTGTGTAACACTCAGCGGGGGTGTCATAACGAGTGAGTGGTGGTGGGGGGTGGCTGTGCATGAGAGAACTGCCGCTTGCGTCTGGGCACACTTATGTCATGTGGCATCGTTGTTGTGCCATGGCGCCTTATGTCATGCCCAAAGCCCCTTCATGGCACCCTATGGCATGTCAGCGTGTGTGTCCCCCTTGTTAAAAGTCTTGCATCTATCTTCCCCTTTACCCCTTTACCCCCCTTACCTCCCCTTTGCTGTACCCTTGCATCTTGACCCTAAAGTTCTCACTAAATGAAGATATTTAAAATGTCAGTTTGAGAGCAGTTTGTTATCAGTACAGGTGTAGGTATCTGGACAACTACCTGACACACCTTAGCATGTCCCATCTTATTGAAATTTAGTAATACTGTTCATTGAGACGTCAGGAAAAACAAACCCAGCTGACTCTCATCTTGTTATGTCCCCAATAACTTTAATATAAGAGTCATTTTGATTTTAGACGTCAGAACACTAGCTGATAACACCCCTCCCCTCTAGTTATGACCCTTAAAAGAGGAAGTAGATGTTTATTCGTCAGACCAGTAGGTGACAATACCCCCCTAGTATGCCCCTCCCCCTTGTCTTGCCACTAGACATAGAGTGCCCCGACGTGCGCCTGAACGTGAGTAGGTCGGGCCCGCGACTGACGATGATCGGGCGAGGTGTCGGCGGTCGGGTCTTGTTCACCTGCCCGCGAGGACACTCCTTGAAGGGCGCTGATCAAGCTGTCTGCCAGGAGAGTGGAGAATGGTCAACGCCACCTCCCACATGCAAGGGTACGGCGGCGTGTGTGTGGTTGAGTCCATGAGTCCTGATTGACTCTCTATGGATGGATCCCCCCAAAGCCCCGCCCACTTAGTCAATAGCCAATCATATCGTTTGAAACTGAAACACCTCCGCGCTTCGCCCATTCATAGTTAGCCTGTCTGCCAAAGACTGGCACTTAAATTTGAATAAATTTGGTACTTTTCACTCTGACAACGAAAATTTTGACTATAAACTTAGCATCTGTGAGTCGTTTTAAAGACTGGAAACGATTTCTTTTGTTCATGTTTTTGTCAGAGTGGGCGGAGCTTTTATGGAGTGGGCGGAGCGAGAGGATCACTCCATGGTTCGTACGATAAATACCCAGGCGACTAGTCAGACGGGCCCCAGCCCTATAGGCCCCAGTTTTAATGGACCTTGATCCTAATGATTAGGATAGGATAGGTTGGGGCCTAGTAGGACTGGGATCCACATGACCTGCCACCAGTAGCCCCCAACTTAAGATGAAAAAACGCATCTACCTGACTCCCTTCCGGAGTTGTACAGGTATACCAGAATAAATAATTTATACTGGGACACTACCGTAACTAGATGCGTTCTCTTATCACTAGTTAACAGGTGCCAGGTATACCGTACGGAGCTCTGAGGGTGGAGGAGGGTGAGGGGGTCAGGTCGCCACAGCATGTAAACACAACACTTTTGTTCCGTTGACCAAAAGTTCCGGGTTTAATGTTGTAGTCATGGTGACTTAACTAAAGGTTTATATTATAAAACGACATTAATTTAAGGATTGTGAGTCGTCATTACCAGAAGATTGTTGTAAGACCATCTGTGTGTTGCAGTGGACATGAGGGAAGACCTTTACTGCTTAAGACACAAGACGTGACTTTCATCTCCTCAGTCAAGATTTGTCTATAACTGTACCACAGAAACACCGCCGCTGCTGGCAATTGTTCGTCTGACGCTTTATCTATAATCGTCTCATGACTGTGTAGAGGGAGACGCCAGGCAGCGTGGGTTGCTTACACAGGCGCTGATGTCATGAACAGTGTCTTTGTGGCTCTTATTTGGTGGACATTTTATGGTTAAACTCAATATAACAGATCGTAAATAGTCCAGCTCGTTGACTTACCCAAACCTCCTTCATAACAAAATCCAAAGTATACATCTATAAGGTTCTTGTTTACTGAGACACTTTCACTATGGATAAAACTGACAGACAGAGCTGACAGTTAGTCCCGGGAACCTCTTTACCCTCACTTCTCTTCCTGGTTACCGCCGGGTCTTCTCTCAGTCACCGGTGTAAAGTACATCACGGGATAACGCTCGGTAATCACCCTAAATCTCCCACATGATTTATAAATCCCTTAAAACCATTACAAAATTACACCATAAACTCCCTAATCTGAACACCAATAGCTGAGCTGAGTAGATCTATAGTTCCGTGTTGTGGAGTGTCGCCCCGCCCCCCCCTCCCCCATAACCCGCCTCTACCATGCTGTGTGTACCTCAGCCTCACCTCTCATAATAAAGTGTTATGAAAGTCACATAAATGTATTTTAATGATAGTGGGTGAATGAAACCATTTGGTGACATATTTCTAAAGTATCTTAAAAGTTTAATGTTATAATATTACACATAATTATTACTAATACCTGTATTTACCTGTATTATGTTCATCTCACCTGGCTGACGGACACAACCCTTTCTTGTTATCCTGCTCTTTCTACAACTCTCTCTCTCTCTCTCTCTCTCTCTCTCTCTCTCTCTCTCTCTCTCTCTCTCTCTCTCTCTCTCTTAAATATTTCTTACACATGATAATCAACTAAAACACATTACACTCCCCTAAAAAAAAACACCTTCCTCCTCCTCCTCCTCCTCCAGTAACCCACATCCCTGCGTGTTCTCTCCTGCAGAAGATAAATGCATTTCACCAGCACCTCCCCTCAACGGGATCCTGACAGACGAGGGCCCCTTCCATGCTGGAGACGTCGTCGAAGTCAAGTGTAGCCCTAACTATATGATGGAGGGCCAGCCATTGATTGTGTGTCAGGAAGATGGCCAATGGTCTGATGAAGTCCCCAAGTGTGAGTATCAGAGAGAGAGAGAGAGAGAGAGAGAGAGAGAGAGAGAGAGAGAAGACATACTATCCGCACGAAAGTGTTGGAAACTACTTTACCGATCTGTAGTGATGATGGATGGTGTTATATGTAGTGATGATGGATGGTGTTATATGTAGTGATGATGGATGGTGTTATATGTAGTGATGATGGGTGGTGTTATATGTAGTGATGATGATGTGGTGTTATATGTCGTGATGATGGGTGTTATATGTAGTGATGATGATGGATGTGTTATATGTAGTGATGATGATGGGTGGTGTTATATGTAGTGATGATGGATGAAGAGAGTGTAGTGCATGATGGATGGTGTTATATGTAGTGATGAGGGTGGTGTGCGTGTGTTATATGTGGTGATGATGGATGGTGTTATATGTAGTGATGATGGATGGTGTTATATGTATGACGATGGATGGTGTTATATGTAGTGATGATGGATGGTGTTATATGTAGTGATGATGGATGGTGTTATATGTATGATGATGGATGGTGTTATATGTAGTGATGATGGATGGTGTTATATGTAGTGATGATGGGTGGTGTTATATGTATGACGATGGATGGTGTTATATGTAGTGATGATGGGTGGTGTTATATGTAGTGTGATGATGGGATGCTGTTATATAAGTAGATGGGATGGATGGTGTTATATGTAGTGATGATGACAGTTATATGTAGTGATGATGGATGTTGTTATATGTAATGATGATGGTGGTGTTATATTTAGGTGATGATGGATGGTGTTATATGTAGTGATGATGGATGGTGTTATATGTATATGATATTATGTTATATGTAGTGATGATGGATGGTGTTATATGTGGTGATGATGGATGGTGTTATATGTAGTGATGATGGATGATGTTATATGTAGTGATGATGGGTAGTGTTATATGTAGTGATGATGGATGGTGTTATATGTGGTGATGATGGATGGTGTTATATGTAGTGATGATGGATGATGTTATATGTAGTGATGATGGGTAGTGTTATATGTAGTGATGATGGATGGTGTTATATGTGGTGATGATGGATGGTGTTATATGTAGTGATGATGGATGGTGTTATATGTATGACGATGGATGGTGTTATATGTAGTGATGATGGATGGTGTTATATGTAGTGATGATGGATGGTGTTATATGTAATGAGGATGGATGGTGTTATATGTAGTGATGATGGATGGTGTTATATGTAGTGTGATGATGGATGGTGTTATATGTAGTGGGACATGATGAAAAAGTTATATGTAGTGATGATGGATGGTGTTATGTAGTGACATGATAAGAAAAATAGATGATGGTGGTGTTATATGAAGATGATGGATGGTGTTGTATGTAGTGATGATGGATGTTGTTATATGTAATGATGATGGGTGGTGTTATATGTAGTGATGATGGATGGTGTTATATGGTGATGATGGATGGTGTTATATGTAGTGATGATGTGTTATATGTAGTGATGATGGTGGTGTTTGGTTGATGTTGTTATATGTAGTGATGATGGATGGTGTTATATGTAGTGATGATGGATGTTGTTATATGTAATGATGATGGGTGGTGTTATATTTAGTGATGATGGATGGTGTTATATGTAGTGATGATGGATGGTGTTATATGTAGTGATGATGGATGGTGTTATATGTAGTGATGATGGATGGTGTTATATGTAGTGATGATGGATGGTGTTATATATATGTATGATGATGGATGTTATATGTAGTGATGATGGATGGTGTTATATGTAGTGATGATGGATGGTGTTATATGTAGTGATGATGGATGGTGTTATATGGTGATGATGGATGGTGTTATATGTAGTGATGATGGATGGTGTTATATGTAGTGATGATGGATGGTGTTATATGTAGTGATGATGGATGGTGTTATATGTAGTTGATGTGTTATATGGATGATGGATGGTGTATATGAGTGATGATGGGTGTGTTATATGTTATAGGAGGTCCCCTACAAGGCAAAATAGAGCCCTATGGAGAATTTTTAGTTTTCCCATACACGAACGATGTCCAACAGTAGTTCATCTGGCTGTTCACCTGGAAAATGGACAAAGAGTATACTTCACAGAAGAGTCCCTCCAAAATCAAATGGCAAATCCTGTTGATACGACCCTCACTGCATTCTTCAAGCTTTCACAGGAAGATGAGTTTGCTCAAATACTCCTGTATGTTGACGTACCCAAGTTCTACATATGGCAGGCTTCAATGAAAAAGTTCCAGAGAAGAGCTCAAGGATCCGATGTTGAAGGATATCCAAGGATAAAGTCAGGCAATGCTTTGGGACGTGTCTACACGGTTCACCCCAACAACTTTGAATGCTATTGTTTGAGACTACTTTTGCGCCACATCCGTGGCCCAACATAATATGCAGCACTCAAGACAGTCAATGGACAAGTCTGAAGAACTTATCAGGAAGCGTGCAATCTCCTTGGCCTACTGGAAGATGATGGTCAATGGAATGACACATTAGAAGAGGCAGCAGCTACTCAATCGCCAATGAGAATGAGGAACCTGTTTGCCATCATGATTGCTACATGTGGACTTTCCAACCCAAGCCAGCTCTGGAAAAACCACCAAGAAAGTCTTTCAGAGGATCTACTTCATCAAGCAAGAAGAGAACATCCTGGTCAAGAGAATGAGTTCATGGATGACATGTTCAACAGAGCTCTGATCATGCTGGAAGACAAAGTGATGGAGCTATGCTGAAAAAACCTGACTGATTTTGGATTGCCTTCCCCAAACCGAGAAGAACCAGTAGCTGCAAACAGGGAGTTGCTCAGAGAGACAGACTACTCAGTTGAAGTTCTGATGAATTTTGTTGAAGAAAATGAGCCTCACCTGGCGAGGCTCATGAATAGATCTTGCAAGTGATACAAGCGGAGCAGGGAGGTATGATCTTTCTTGATGCACCTGGCGGGAGAGAAAAAACATTCTTGATCAACCTTCTGTTGGCCAAAGTACGCCATCAGGGGAAAATTGCTCTTGCTGTGGCATCCTCAGGCATTGCTGCAACACTACTAGAAGGAGGACGTACTGCACACTCAACTCTTGAACTGCCTCTCAACCTCGCTCACAATGAGAATCCAGTGTGCAACATCAAAAAAGGTTCGGCAAAGGCAAAACTCTTAGAAAAGTGCAGCCTCATAGTCTGGGATGAATGCATTATGTCTCACAAGTTAGCGTTTGAAGCATTGGACAGGACCTTGCAAGACATACGAGAAAATGACCAGCTCATGGGTGGCATTACAATGGTCATTGCTGGAGACTTTCGCCAGACCCTACCTGTCATTCCTCGAAGCACTCCAGCTGATGAACTGAATGCGTGCCTCAAGGCATCATACCTTTGGAGAAGTGTTCAGACACTCACCCTATCCACAAACATGAGAGTACATCTACAAGGAGATCAGGATGCTGGACGGTTTGCAAACCTTCTACTACAGATTGGGAATGGAACTTTCCCTGTTGATTCAGAAGGACAAATAATCATTCCTCAAGGATGTGGAAATGTTGTAAAGTCCTCAACTGAGCTCACTAACATGGTCTACCCAAACATTATCCACCACTACAAGGATCACAAGTGGCTGCGTGAACGCGCAATTCTGGCACCAAAGAATGAAACAGTGGCTGAAATCAACATGACTCTACTCAGACAGCTTCCAGGCAGTGAGACCTCATTCAAATCTGTTGATACAGTAATCGACCAGGACCAAGCAGTCCAGTACCCTGCAGAATTCCTTAATTCTTTGGAGCCCGCTGGAATGCCTCCTCACCACCTCACTCTCAAGATTGGAACTCCTATAATGCTCTTAAGAAATCTTGAACCACCAATCCTCTGCAATGGCACAAGACTGGTGGTGAAGAACATGATGCCACATGTACTGGAAGCTACAATACTGACAGGAAAAGCTAAAGGAGAGGACGTTTTTATACCAAGGATACCTCTCATCACCACTGACCTGCCATTTGAGTTCAAGCGACTTCAGTTCCCGGTTAAAGTGAGCTTTGCCATGACCATCTACAAAAGCCACGGACAGTCCCTAAAGATGGTTGTCCTAAACCTGGTGTTTCCTTGCTTCTCTCATGGACAGTTCTATGTTGGATGCTCCAGAGTGGGAACTGGCAAAAATCTGTACATACTTGCTGCTAATGGCAAAATAAAAAATGTGGTCTACCTTAATGCACTACAGTGAGACAATGTGGAGCCTCCCGGAGGGCGGCGTCCTACCGTGGCCTA